CATGTCTGTTTTACTTTGGTCCGCCTTCATTTCAGAACATAACTCTTCAACAAGACGTTGGTATTTCAATTCAGTTGGAGGACACATGAATATGACTCCCTTCCCATCCTTAACTTTTCCAACCCATTCATATTCCCTATTACCATTCAACACCCACTTTCCATCAGACTTGTAATAAATAATTGTGATTTTCTCGTCGACTGCGTCCATTATGCCTGTATAGAATAAGATTCGTAAGACACATGTGACTAGTATGACCAGAGTGACTAGTGTGACCAGAGTGACCAAGCTGACCAGTGGGACCAAAGTGAACAGTGTGACTAGTGTGACCAGCGTAGCTAGTGTGAAGATTATTCAATTAAACAGTGTGACCAAAGTGACCAGGGGGACCAAAGTGACCAGTGGGACCAAAGTGACCATTGGGACCAAAGTGACCAGTGTGACCAGAGGGACCAGGGGGACCAAAGTGACTAGTGTGACCAGGGGGACCAGGGAGACCAAAGTGACCAGTGGGATCAGTGACCAGTGTGACCAGTGACTAGTGTGACAGTGTGAAATGTCTATAACACCAGTTTTAGTGATATATATAAGAAAAATGAGGTCAGATCTATACACATGTGAGGTCGAATTAAACCGAAAATTAATGCTGGGTTGTGCGATGAGAACTTGCCTTTTTCCCAGATCTATACAGATCTGACTGCACTCCTGTGATTTGATGCGATTTCGACGGTATATTCGCTGAGATTTCACATGTACATTCGGCGGTGTATTCTGTTTTTTTTTTCGGCGGAAATTTATGGGGAGAGAAAGGGGGAGAGAAACGAGAAGAGAGAGAAACGCGAGGCAAATAGAGGGATTTCGCCGGTAGATTCGCTGCGATTTCGCCGATAAATTCTGGTTTTTTCTGGCGGGGAGAGAAGCTGAGAAACTGCGCGAGGAGAGAGAAACGAGAGGAGAGAGAAACGCAAATCGATGGAGGGTTACAAAAAGGTGTTGAGGGTATTATGGAGACAACACATTTATAAAGGTATTGTCTGAAGATGTTTTTTTTTTCCGTCAAGTGAGGGGTATGCCATGAAGTCAATGTAGCAAAGTAAGGGCATTTTTGATAATGCCCCGATTAACCGTCCTTCCTTCATGTTGCGCCACGTGTAGTTTTCATTAAGGTCAATTATGTCTTTTGCTCATTTAGTTTTTTTTTTTGAAAAACTAGGGTTTTGGAGGGTAGTCCGTGAAGTCTGTGTAGCATAGTAAGGGTATTTGTGCTATATTGCCCACTAAGGAAGGTACCTCACATGCTTTATAACTCTGACTGTTTAAGCAGGATCATTACAGGAATTGGTCAACCATTATACCAAGACCGTTCGACATTGAACAAAGATAATCTCAGTATCGCCAGAATCTACACAACAGTTCAGCTTCATAGACCATTACCAAAAAGGCTAGCGGTTCATCTACCTGATGGTAAAGAGCATATGGTTGAAGTGTCCTATGATTGGATACCTCCCACTTGCACCTTATGCCAAGAAGTGGGACATAACGAGCATCATTGTCCGAAGTACCCTCCGACGAGGCCGGAACGAAAGTCAACTGCTCCTGCAAAGACGGCCCAGGCTCCGCCAATACAGCATATCTTTACAGATAAGGAGGCACCTAGTATTGAACCAGAGAACACTCCAACATCTAATGAGCAGATTCAGTCATCTGAAATCTCTCACTGTATGGAGACCCACCAAAACACGGTTCCTCGGCCAATCATGCAAAGTTCCACCGCTGATCTTGAGCCAAGTACTCAGCCAACACTGGTGCCCAAAGACCAAGGTCAGGTGGCTAGTGCAGAAGTAGCAGAGATAGAGAAGGATCGTATTGCTTTGCAAACAGAACAGCCACAGCCATCCTCGGGATATTCTGGTGGTGATTCTGGTGGTAATAATAAGGGAACATGTAACAAAAGGCCCAACAATCCGGGTCAAGGTAGACAACAGAGGAACACTTCTACAAATAGTAGTTCGAAGCAGAAAGGAAAGGGCCGCGGTCGAAAGACCGTGCGAGGCAACTAAAAAATTCTGTTTGGATTCCCATGATTTTTGCGTGGAATACACGAGGGCTAAATAGCCGTAATAAACAATTTTTGGTTCGCAAGTGGATACTAGAGCAAAGACTTTTGGTAGGAGGCCTACTTGAAACTCACATTCATCAGGATAATGCCATAATGCCGACCGAATTCAAGCTGTCATCCCCACGGGATGGAAATCAAGATGTAATTATGGAGATGACTGCCACGGTAGAATCTGGCTAGTCTGGGACCCGTCTATGTTGGTCACTGTCTACAAAACATCGCAGCAGTCCATCACGTGTAGTATATGCTCCTTGGATAACTCAATTGCACTCACTGCAACGTTCATATACGCCTCTAATCAGATGGTGACAAGGAAGGATCTCTGGCAAGAATTGGCTTCCTTATCATCGTACTCGCCACTGACAGCCTCTCTGTGGTTGATTTTGGGAGATTTCAATCAGACTCTGTTCATATCCGACCGATCAGACAATGCCATCAATCCATCTCAAGATCAAGGGCGCCAGGACCTTGTTTCTTGCCTTGAGAACATTGGCGTAACTGACCTGCCAAGTTGTGGAATGCATTATACATGGTGTAACAACCAACACGCCAATCCCCTCTCAGTAAAGTTGGATAGAGCTATGGGTAATGATAAATGGTTGGATCAGTTCCTGTCCGCCTATGCTGAGTTTACTGAGCCAGGCCCCTCAGATCATGCTCCATGCCTAATCAAATTTCCAGACTTCCCGGTCAAGGTACGTCGCTCATTCAAATTCCACCATCATATCATGTTGGTTCCGGAATTCATGCAGGTGGTTAGGGAATCCTTGAATCCTAACGCTTAGAGAGGAAATGCTCAATACAAACTATGTAAAGCTCTGAAAGCCATCAAGGAGTCGCTTAGACAGCTCAACAATGGGCGATTCAACAATCTGTCCAAGCAAGTCGAGCGTATTGGAGTACAGCTCAAGCAAGTACAAGCGGACCTCCTTCAGTCCCCAGACTCAACCAAGATCGAGCAGGAAAGGAATCTAAGAAAGGAATGGACCATGCTAGTAACTGCTGAGGAGAAACTATGTCGTCAAAAGTCCTGTATACAATGGCTGCAGCTGGGAGATAGGAATACCACCTACTTTCATAGGGTGGCAAATGCAAGAAATGCTCGAAATCACATCTATTTCCTAGAAGACGAGGGAGGCCAACGCTTATCATCAGTGGAGACTATCAAGACACATGCAGTAGACTATTTCACCAAGCTGATTGGTGAAGCAGTTGAAGGGTTGCAGCCACCATCGACAGAAACACTGCGAGAAATGTTCAGCTACTCATGTAGCCCAGAGTTGGCTGAAACACTATCCAGAATTCCCTCCCCTGAAGAAATTAAGCAGGTTTTATATGCTATGCCGGGCAACAAGGCTCCGGGGCCAGACAATTTCTCAAAAGAGTTCTCCCAAGCGACTTGGGACATTACAGGGCCTACATTGATTAATTCAGTCAGCGACTTCTTTGAGACCGGAAAATTATTGGGACAAACCAACACAACAATTCTTACCCTTATCCCCAAAAAGTTAGGGGCAACTACACTAGTGGAGTATAGACCAATCAGCTGTTGTAATACTAATTATAAAATCATCTCTACAATACTAGCTCGACGGTCGAAGCCAATACTGCAAGATATAATCGGTCCAAACCAAACAGCATTCCTAAAAGGTCGATTGATGATAGAGAATATACTGCTAGCCACTGAGCTCATCCGAGAATACAACCGTAAGACATCCAAAGCAAGCACAATGATAAAGATTGATATCCGAAAGGCCTTCGACTCATTGTCTTGGGAATTCTTGATCAGAATATTAAGGGCTCTAGACCTGCCAAATCATTTTATTCAATGGATAAGAGCTTGTGTAACTACTCCCAAATTCTCGGTTGCAATCAACGGGGAGTTAGCGGGGTATTTCAAGGGAAGGCGTGGGCTGCGACAAGGGGATCTGATATCTCCATACTTATTCATACTCTCCATGGAAGTACTCTCCAGGATGTTTGATAGAGGAGCTGCGAGCAACAGTTTCAAACCACATCCGAGATGTAAGCAACCTACCATAACTCATCTTACTTTTGCTGATGATGTGATGATATTTTGTGCTGGTGAGGGTCCTTCTCTGCAGAACGTGATGTCTATTATTGAGGAATTCAGCAGAGGATCAGGTCTTGCCATAAACCATAGCAAATCCAAAATTTTCTTTGGTGGATTGGGTTCCTCAGAGGCCGACGCGTTGGCCTCAGCAATAGGCATTCGGAAGGGAACTTTACCAGTCAAGTATCTGGGGGTACCTCTAAACCCAACAAAATTGTCAAGGACAGAGTTTCAACCTTTGCTCGAGAGGATAAAAAGGAAATTGCAAGCTTGGAGCACTCGGTATCTCTCATATGCAGGGAAAATTCAGCTTGTCTCTACTGTGATATATGGGTTGGTAAATTATTGGAGCCAAATTTTTGCTCTGCCAAATTTTTTCTTGAAACAGGTGGATAGTGTTAACTCAAGTTTTCTGTGAAAAGGAAATCAAAGCTCGAATAGCTCATACCGAGTAGATTGGGATAAAATTTGCAAACCAAAGAGGGAAGGAGGGCTTGGGATTCGGAAACTTGAGGATTACAACAACATCTTCAGACTTAAGCTAATATGGATATTATTCACCAACTCAGGATCCCTATGGGTTGCTTGGACTCAAAGGAACATATTCAAGAATAACTCATTTTGGACGAGCAAGGCGACGAGCAGATGCTCGTGGATTCTCAAGAAACTGATGGATATGAGGGAACAAGTGAGTACATTTTTAAAAGGAGTTCAATGATGGAAAATCGACTGCTTTCTAGGACGATAACTGGACAGACATGGGGCCGCTTATAGCACTTACAGGAGTTCAAGGCCCGAGGCTTCTAAGGATACCGCGGGAGGCACTGGTGGAGTCAGCTACTTCTGATGGCAGTTGGTCTTTACCAGGAGCTAGATCTGAAGCAACTCAGCGTATTCTGATCCGATTAGTAGACCTGAAGCCACCGAATGCATCAAAAGGAGCTGATGTAACACTATGGCGGCATGGGACAGATAATTACAAGCCATGGTTCTCAACTTCGTGCACCTGGGAACAAGTCAGACAACGAGCTATCCAAGCGAGTTGGTATGAAAATGTTTGGATCGCCCAAACAACGCCAAGACTAGCACTTCTTCAATGGCAGGTTCACCTCCAAAGGCTGCCAACGAAGGACCGCTTACTGTGGTGGGGTATACAGGTGGATTCGACTTGTGTCCTTTGTATGCAGGATTCGGAAAGTCACAACCACCTATTCTTCAACTGTCCATATAGCTCAGCCATATGGACCTACTATGCGGAATGATGCGGGGAGTCGCCACCATCAGATCTGATGGAATGTCAAGCCTGGCGCAGAAACACACGGAGCTCGCTGACCAGAAGCAAATTCCTTCTCTCGAAACTACTCACGCATATAGCAGTGGATATTATATGGAGCGAACGAAATGACAGAATCTTCAAAGGAAAAGCAAGAACCATTGGAAACATGCGAGCCAAGCTAGATCGGCGAATGTGAACGTTGTTACTCTCTATTCAATTAGGGCGAGGACCTTTGACAACTACCATACTCGAGGATTGGTATCATTTAACAGCATATGTTAGATAGAAGTCTTCAGCGATTTGCCGTTGGATCTAATTTTACCACTTGCATTTGGGAATCCAAAGTTTTTGTAAATGCCTCTTTTTGTAGAAACTGATGTATGTTCTCCCAATTGATTAATACTCAATCACATTAAACCAAAAAAACTTAACCCATACGGCCTCACCCTTCAAAAACAAAAAACCTTAACCCGTGTGGTATGGTATGAGGTTATATGACAAATGGGCTTTATGAAAGATGGGCTTGCTGGGTAATTTTGTTGGACAAAACGCATTGAATCATAATGGACATACAGTTATGTGATTCATGTGTAGAGAAGAAAAAATATATTTTTTTTTGCAAGAAATAAAACTATATTATTGAATTTATAACCACAGCCACTTCAAAATCGAGAAGATATATAGGAATAATGGCTATTGGTAACGTCTTTATGTCGAACCATATGGTAAAAAACATTATAAATTCCAATAATTCGGATGGATATTGTATTCAAATAATCAAATATGTTACGTTAGAGATCACGGGACCGTTCGTCTCAGTTCTCACACCAATTCGAAAGATCGTCCATCACGTGAACCGGCTCTTACCCCAAACCCTCTTAATCAAACAGAGTCTATCGCCATCTATTGTTTTTAGAATTCAAAGACCACGAGTGCTCAAATTGATGGTACGTGAGCAAAGGGGTTCCTTTTCACACTTTTTTTTTTATAAAAAAATTTTTCCCTGACATCCACTGTTTGGACAAAAGCAGGAACAGTATCGCATTTGTATGTTTGTGGAATCTAAGCTGTATCGGAAAGTGGAATAAACAGTGATGCATATATATATATATATATATATATATATATATATATATATATATATCAATTTATTTTAACGTTGGAATTTTCTTATTATAAAAAAAACATCGACGGTGAAAAAAAGGTAGTATTTGGATATGGGTGACAATCCACAAAATCATATACTATTAGGTGTACGGATGATATTATATATGTTTTGATTCATACCACTATCGATCGAGAATTCGATTCTAATAGAATGAAAACTATATCATTTCAAACTAAATGCGTTGGCTTAGAAAGGATAGTTATCATTTCAAAAGAATTTATATATATATATATATATATATATAGAATGAAAACTATATCATTTCAAAAGAATTTATATGTATAGAATGAAAACTATGGAGATATATACTATTTTATTATGGAAGAGAAATTGAAATATAATGTCTAAGAGGGATTGTACAAGAGTTTTTTTTTTGTTCTTCTTCTTCTTTATGGAAATGACTTCCCAACACAACAAATAAAT